CATCTTTCCTGTAATAAGGTGACCGGAACTGGACACAATACTCCAGATGTGGCCAAACCAGGATTTTATATAGCTGGAGCATAACTTCACGGGTCTTGAACTCAATCCCTCTATTAACGAAAGCTAACACACCATACGCCTTCTTAACAACTCTATCTACTTGCGTGGCAACTTTCAGGGAACTGTGAACATGAACCCCAAGATCCCACTGCTCCTCACACCGCCAAGAATCTTTCTGTTAACCCTGTATTCTGCTTTCAAGTTTGTCCTTCCAAAATGAATCACCTCACACCATCTGTCACTTCTCACCCCAGCTCTGCACCCAATCAATGTCCCTTTGCAACCTATAGCAGCCCTCCGCACTATCCACAACTCGACCCACCTTCGTGTTGTCCGTGAACTTACGAAACCACCCTTCCACTCCTTCATCTAAATCATTTACGAAAATTACAAATAGAAGACGACCCAGAACAGATCCTTATGGTACACCACTCGTAACCGAGCAGCATGTTGAATATTTTCTGTGCACTTCCACCCTTTGTCTTCTAAGGGTCAGCCAATTCTGAATCCAATCTGCCACATTTCCCCCTATCCCATGCCTCCTTACCTTCTGCATGAGCCTACCATGGGGAACCTTATCAAACGCCTTACTTAAATCCATGTATACCATATCCACTGCTCTACCTTCATCTACGTGTTTGGTCACCTCTTCAAAGAATTCAGTAAGATTTGTGAGGCACGATCTACCCCTCACAAATTCATGCTGACTATCACGAATCAAACTGTGCCTTTCCAAGTGATCATAAATCCTATCTCTCAGAGCCCTTACCAATAACTTGCCCACCACTGACGTAAGACTGACTGGCCTGTAATTTCCGGGGTTATCCCTATTCTCTTTTTTGAACAAGGGAATGACGTTTGCCTCTCTCCAATCTTCTGGCACTATACCCGTTGACAGTGAGGACAAAAAGATCATCGCCAAAGGCCCTGTGATCTCTTCCCTCGCTTCCCACAGAATCCTTGGATAAATTCCATCAGGCCCGGGGGACTTCTCTATCTTCAAGTTCCTCAAAATCCCTAGTACATCTTCCTTACTGACATCGACCTCCTCTAGCCTACCAGCCTGTTTCACACTGTCCTCCTCCACAACCAAATCCCTCTCAGTTGTGAATACCGAAGAAAAGTATTCATTAAGGACCTCTCCTATCTCTTATCTCCTATCTCCTATCACGGTTCCGTGCACAAATTCCCTTTACAATCCTCGATCAGCCCTACCCTTTCTCTGGTCTTTCCAGCAGTGACCCTTACCTCCCACATCCTGCAAGAGGAGCATGTGACTGCCCTCGCTTTGATTCCCTCTACTCTAGATTTCCAGAAGAATAAAAAAAAGCCTTACCTTAGCCAATGCCCGAATATATTAGTTCCTACCTGGTTCGCGTTCTCTGCAGACACACCCGCTGCTCCAAACAAGAAGGCCGCTGCTGCACGAGCTAAGTTTTTAGAAAGGAAAAGAAAAATCTTACCTTCCTGTCAGCACCCTGGCTCGCACTCCCGCTGCTCCAAACCTTATTACTAGCCTGCCATGTAGGACCTTGTCAAAGGCCTTACTAAAGTCCATATAGACAACATCCACAGCCCTACCCTCATCTATCCATTTGGTTACCTCTTCAAAAAGCTCCAAAAGATTTGTCAGGCATGACTTCCCATGCACAAATGCATGCTGACTATTTCTAATCAGACCTTGACTGTCCAAATGTTGGTTGATCCTGTCCCTCAGTATCCTCTCCAATAACCTGCCTACCACTGATATCAGGCTCACTGGCCTGTAGTTCCCTGCCTTGTCTTTGCAACCTTTCTTAAACAATAGAACAACATTAGCCACCCTCCAGTCTTCCTGAACTTCACCAGTGGCTACACATGAAGCAAAAATCTCTGCAAGAGCCTCTGCACATTCTTGCCTCGCCTTCCACAACATCTGAGAATGGTCAGGCACAGGTAATTCATCCATCTTAAGGCTGCAAACACCACCTCTATGGTAATATGTATGCGGTCCAAAATATCTTCACTTCTTTACCATATTTCCTTGGCATCCATGATTCTATCCTCAGTAAACATGGAGGAGAAATAACCATTAAAATTCCCCATTTCCTGGGGCTCTATACGTAGGCTGCCATGCTGATTTTTAAGGGGACCTATTCTCTCCCTCGCTTCCCTTTTACTCTTAATATAGCTATAGAACTGCTTGGGATTACCTTTAACCTTATCTGCCAGATCCGTCTCATACCCTCTTTTTGCTCTTTTGATTTCCCGCTTAAGTATGCTCCTACACTTTTTATTGTTATCCAGGGATTCACTTAAGCCCAACAGCTTAAAAACAACGTATGGCTTCTTTTTTGTTTTCCTGACCAGAGCCTCAATATCCGTCAATAACTCAGCTTCACCTTCTTTTGTCATGTATGTCAATTTCTGCTGTTCAAATGCATGACATTATTAGTCTGTACCGTTCAGTTTGTTCTATGTGAATGTGTGAGTGAAGTTCTCAATCTATGCCTGTTTCTACTAGGAGAATGCTTGAGACTTGTTACCAGTCCCTCCATGTCCATTCTGCTGTATCAACATAACAGTGCAGTCATTAATCTGAACCAATCAATTTCTGCTCCGTCAATATCTAGATTTAGTTATTAAACTTGTTGTTTCTGCTGGGCAGATGTGAGTGTAGTTATCACACTGTAGCTGGGAGATTTTGTTCTGTGAATATTTTTGTGCCGTTATCACACTGTACCTGCCAGTTTTAACTTTGTGAAAATGACAGTGTGGTTCTAAATCTGTAACTGTCAGTTTTTCCTTGGTGAGTTTGTTTGCACAATTATCAGTCCAGACCTGAAATATTCTGGTGTGTGAATGTGTAATTGTAGTTACCATTCTGTCCCTACCAGTCTTTGCTATGTGAATATATGAGTGTTTTTTCCTAATTTATCCCTGTCATGTGAAAATAATAACTAATTTGCCAGAGATAGTAGGAACTGAAGATGCTGGAGAATCTGAGACAACAAGGTGCAGGGCTGGATGAACACAGCAAGCCAAGCAGCATCATAGGAGCAGACTAACTAATTTGCCAATCTGGTTATGTTTATTTGTGCTCTGTGAATGTTTGGCAGCAGTTATCATTCTGTACCTGTCAGGTTATGCTTGATGAATAAATTTTCAGTCTATCCATGGCAGTTTCTGTTGTAAGAATGTCAGAGTTTCGTTATCACTCTGTTGCTGCCAGGCTCTGCTATGTGAATGTCTGATTGCTTTTATCAGTCTTTCCCTCTCAGTTTCTTTGATGTGCGCATGTGAGTTTGGTTATCAATTTGTACCTGCCATTTTCTGGGATGTGAATGTGAGAGTTTGAATGTCAAACAGTACCTGTCAGCTTCTGCTGTGTCAATATTTGAGTGCAGTTATCAATCTGTTCCTGACAGCTTCTGATATGCAAAGGATGGGAGTGTAGTTATCTATCTGTACCTGCTAGTTTCAGCTATGAAAATACACGAACGCAGTTACCAATCTATGCCTCTCAGTTTCCGCTATGTTAAAATGTGAGTGTAGTTATCCATCTATGCCTGTCAGTTCCTGCTATGTAAATATATGACTGTCATCATCAGTCTTTACCTGTCAATCTCTGCTATGTGAATGAGAGTTCAGTAATTAATCTATACCTGACAATTTGTTAGGTTTATGCGTGTCAGTTAATATTCTGTGAAACTGGGAGAGTTATCATTAGTTTGTTCCTGTCAGTTTCTGTATTGTGAATACGAGAGTGCAGTTATCAATTTTTTCTCAGACAGTCACTGCTATGTGAATGTGAGAGTGTATTTACCAATCTGTCCCTGTCAGATTTTGCGTTGCAAATATGACAGTGTAGTTGTTAGTCAGTACCTGTCATTTTCTGTGACATGAATGTTTGGATAATTATTATTCTCTCCCTGCCAATTTATGCAATGTGAACATGAGCCTAATATCAATCTGTACCTATCAGTTTTTGTTTTAAGCTCTGTGACTGAGTGTCATTTTCAATCTCTATAGTTTCTGCTATTTCAATATTTGAGTTTAGTTATCGATCTAATGGTAGTTTCTCCCAGGTGACTATTTGAGCACAATTATCAATCTGTAACTGACACTTTCTGATATGCAAATATGGAAGTGCAGTTGTCAGCCTGTTCCTGTTGGTATGTGCAATGTAAATAAGGGAGTGTAGTTATCTGTCAAGTTTCTGTCATGTCAACCTGCGAGTGTCATGAATCTGTCCCTGAAAGTTACTGTAATATGAATGTGTGACTGTAGTTTATCAACCTGTCCCTGTCATTTTCTGCCGTGGGGAGAAGATGACTGTAGTTATCAACCTGTTCCTGTAAATTTCTGGTATGTGGGAACCTGAGTATATTTATCATTCTCTTCCTGACAGTTTCTATTCAGTGAATATATTTCTGAAATGATCAGTCTGTCCATGACACTGTTTTGCTACGTGAGTGTTTCGTTATCAATCTGTATCCGGCAGTTTCAGTTACAAGAGTCTGAAAGAGTAGTTATTAAGGTTTTTAATCCATACAGATCAGGTACTCAAAAGTTTCCTACTATGTCTGTACTCAATATCAACTTCATATATGTTCATTGTAACTATGTAACAGCTTGATCTATTTGAATACTTTGATTGTAACTTTAAAAATGGCCTTGTTTAACGTGCATTCAATGCAGTTATTGAGTGCATATTTGTGAAGAAGATTCAATCTATCCCTTTTCAAATGCTGTGAATGACAATAGGCTTTCAAAAATGAACTTTCCTGGAACTGTGCTAGTTTAGAGAGAGAAAAAACATGATACATTTATATTTTGTTGGTGGTGTTTGACCCTTGGATTGAATGTATATCTCTGGAAATTGAACTCAATGCAAGTCTTATTCAATCAGCTCTGTGACCATGGAAAGGACATTCTCCGCTCTGACAGTGCAAACATACCTGTTGTTTGGTAAGAGCAGCTGGTCACACTTGGTGCTGTACCACGGAAATATTACATTATCTTGGCCCATCAAATATTTGTCTGGAAAAAGACAAAAGAGAATTCTCCTATAGATCAACATCCAAGTTTGAAAATATCAATACTGATTAGTGCAAAATTTAGTCAATACTCATGTTAATGCCTTGTTTTAAAGCTAGCAATTTTGACAGAGAAGGGTCTGGTTCCATAATTACCCTGAGCTCCTCCTCGTCGCATTCTTTTTTGAGAAATTCTAAAACAATTTACTAAGATACAAAAGTAACCAACACCTGTACGGTTCCATGAATGGAATGCTTACACAGTGCAATACCCAGCTCCCAATGCACTAACTAATGAAGGGAAAAACAACAGGCACTATTTCAAATATTTTACTTGAGCCTCTTAACCCGGCGACTGCTACATTTATCCTTTACAGGATTAGCATATTTGTATACAGTGCTTTCACGATTCAATGCCAATTCGCAACAAACAACGTGAAACAGAAGCTAAACGTTGATCTTCCATCAGTGTTCAGAGAATCAAAAACCAGAAGAATGACCCCCAACAGCTTCTTGCCGCTGTGTCTCCCTCAGCAGGGCCACACACAGCCCGAGAAAGGCCTCTCTCTCTCCTCTCACCCCCGCCCAGGCCGCTCACTCCAACTTCTAGGACCTGTTCCCGCCCCGTTCCGCCTCTTACAAACAGTCCCCGGTTCTCCCTGAACTGAGCCCGAATCAATGCCGCTGTCGGAACCCCGCTCTGTGTCCCAGACTCACATCTCGATGTGCTGCTGGAAGGAGCCTGCTGTTCCCTCGCTTCCCTGGGCGCTGGTCTCTCCATTGCGGTCTGTTTCAAACAAACCTCTTCCACTCACTGAGGAAATGCTCGTCAATGGCAGCGCTGGTAGAGAGCCTCACGCATGCGCTCCTCGAGTCAGCACCAAGGATCGTTTGGGGGGCGGTGGGGTAAAAGGCCAGCATCGCGCATGCGCTGTTTTCCCAATGATTCCCAGAAACAAACATGAATGGGTCATTCGGAGATAACAAGGTGTAGAGCTGGACGAATACAGCAGGCCAAGCTGCATCATAGGAGCCGGAAGGCTGACGTTTCGGGTCTAGACCCTTCATCAGAAATGGGGGAGGGGAAGGGGATTCTGAAATAAATAGGGAGAGAGGGGGAGGCGGATAGAAGAGATCCCCTGAAGTTTGTCTGGAGGAAGGAGGGTAACTTCTTCAGGGTAGGCATCCTTAGAATAGGCTTCCCCAATTCCCTTTACTCCCAGTTTGAGCAAAGCGGCTGGGGGCTGTGGGGGAAAGGGCAGAGAACGTTACAAGCTGGAGCATTGGCCTTGATGAAGCTCCAATGGAGCTCATTCCCGGGTCACGTTAATAGCTGCCTCCCTCCGGCCCTCTCACAATCTGATGGGGAAGCGGAGAAGCTGACGGCCATTCGGCCCTATTAATGACTCGACCGTTCAATAACATCACGTCTGATCCCATGTTAACTGCAGTATTCGATCCTGCTGTCCTTCGTCTCATATTAACTCTGTCAAA